TTCAGTATTTGTCAACCAGTCTTTCAACTGGTATTATCACATTTCATTTAAAAACTTGCATTCACTGAGTTCCTCAAAATACACAAAGTCTGTGACAGAAGGGAAAAAAAAAAGCTCCGATTTTCCCAGAGCCCACATGCTAATTTCTTAACCCATCAACTTTTCCTCTGTTACAAAGGAGACACAGTCCTTCTTTACATCAACATCACCTTCTCTTACTGGAGCCAAAAAGAATAAAATCCACCTCAATTACCCTCTCAACTGTGATCTAAAATTCCAAGGTATAAAGGGGTTAGTTGTAAGAAAAAAAAATTAACTTTTTCTTCAAAACAGAAAAAAAACCCCAAACATAAAATCTCCCTGTTTGTTTCTCATTTAACATGTACACTATTTTAGGATTCTACTCTAAGATTCTTCATTGTTCTTATAGAACCGAACGGTGTTATCACAGATTAGGACTCAATTGTCACACTAGGCACTTACAATTTAAATTCCTATATAAATATCTACATAAAACTCCAGATTTCACTGTTGAGAGCTGAGTACCTTAATAGTGTAAGTGCTCACTGTAGCTAGAAAAAAAATACATACCTTTACATTGTTATGTCAAAATTTTGAGATCTAAGAAGGGGTTTGACAAAGGCAAAAAATGTTGAGGAATTATAGCTGAAGTCTGACTTGAAACCTGAAACTAATATGATTTGTTACGAGCAAGAGGTTCTTTCTTTCAGTGCTGTGTAAAGATGGAAGAATATAACAACTCTAGAAATCCAGTGACCCAATCTACAAAATATTATGGGTTGTAGAATGACTTCATAAAAATAGATTTTTATTGTGTTATTTCAATGATGTAAGGTTATAAGTTATTGATTCTTACAAGATATAATCAATTAACACTTTTCTGCTGTTTATCTCACAAACCAGAAGAATTTTGTGTTTACTTTGGTAAAAACTATTTATTGAACATTTATTCTGTTTTCACTATGTCAATTTGTCATTACATGATGATTTAGGGAGAAGTTAAGATTTCAGAATTTGGCTGAGTAGCAAAACTATGAAAATACAACTATCATAAATAATTTTATCAAACTTTCCATTTCATTATGCCTTTCTCCCAAACTTCATATTTTCCCATATGTGGTTGAATTCCCCCTAAGACAAATGGTACAATTTCACTGAGGAAAATAGCAAAATGGACGTCAGAGTCTGTGTCATAATAAAATCATTTTGTACTAAGAAAACTTTTCCATTAAAAAAAAAAGACATATTTTAGTAATGGTTTAACCAACCATATTTTTTCCTAGCAGTCAGTAACTTCAATGCAGTTAAACACCACTTTAAATTAATCTACTGTTGATTTATTGATCACAAATTAGTTTGGTAGTAAATGTATGTCTATGAAAAATATAACAAAAACCTACTAGCAATTAAATGCAGTATGTCATGCAAGCATTAAAGACGATATTACTACAACATAATACAAGTTCTATTAGGAGAAATAAGAGCTACAATTCTATTTAACTATAGTCCAGTTCTCTCAGGCACTTACTGGTCGGGAAAAGTGCAACATCCTCTCTTGAAATTCAAGTACTTTTTTTTTTTTCCCAAACTCTTTATGATATAACAACTTTTCTGGTTCCAGTTAAAAAGTAAAATAAAAAATGGCAACAGCATCATCAACGGGGAAAAATATTAAACCCTTTTTAAAAAATGAATCAGGTGCAGATATTGAACTGTACTTTTTCATCCTTTGTCTCACTTTTCAAATGATAATTTCTTCCACAGTCACCATTAAATCCTGATCTATTCCAGCTCTCTGTATGGGTCATTGATTCTAGATGTACCATGGTTATTTTTAAATGTTTCCCTTTCGTAGAGAAAAAGAGGGCTGTCTAGAGCCAGATGGGTAACTTCACACTTCATTTATCAAACCAAATGCATTAGACTCCACCCTCTCTTTCCCACTATTGCTGTTAAATTTCCATATAATTTGGTAGCAATTTTCATTATCATACAGTGACCCTAAAAAGTCTATACAGGTCTGCATGGTTAGTCCAAAATTCACAGCTGTTCCCTTCACCGTCTATTTGTTACAGTAGAATCCAAGGTTCCCCTCACTTTATAAGGTGAACAGTGACCTTCTGTAAGCAGAGGTCAAGAAGGGGTCAGTTCAAAGGGCTAGAGCAGCTCTTTAACAGCTATAACAACCTGTCCATCAGGCACTATCACGCAGTATAAACAAATCTGGGGCTTTAGAAACTCTGGACCATTTCTGTTAACACTCAGAAGACATTCACTGAGTCCTACCTCAAGTATTTTGGATCACTACCACTCAGAGAACAACTTGAATCCCTAGAAGACCTGCTCAGATACTTGAGACACTGATGACATCTTTGCCTCAAAAGTATATGAAATGCTGAGCTGCAACACTTAATGCACTGCCACGTGTTTTGGACTGTGGAGCTGAAATAAAGTCTCAGAGTAATTTCACTTCATTAATACACATAAACACTGGTGCAATATTAAGCAAGTAACACAAGGGCATGCTTTAACCTTGTAGATACATATCAAAACAGTCCCTATGCCTTTCGCTGAGAAAGGTTAAATTTCTAAAAGTTCAATCGGTTTGTATAACCAGTTCCCAGCATGTCATTTCAGGTGTTAATGACACAAATAAAACACCAGAAAGAACAGAATGACTACAAAACTCTACAAAGACCAAATACAGAGTAAAGTTTTTTTTCAGCTGCCCTCCCTTCATTGACCTAAATTTCTTGAAGTTGTACTGTTCATAATCTGCTCTCTAATGCACAATGTAAGGTAATTAGAGTCATCTGTATTTAACTTCCACAGGAAAAAAATTCTATTATCTAATCTAGCTGATCCCCTGATAGCCTGTTGAAAGTAAAATACTGTAACCTATTGCCTGCCCTTTGACAAGTGCTAATTATTTCCTGTCCAAGCACATTTTTCTCATGTAATTCCAAAGTACACAATAGACTGATCTCTAAAACATGAGCAGCCCTGCTTGTACCACAGCGGACGTTTTATAACTTTCACCACCGTGTGCTCGATGGCTACCACAGCCAGTGTTTCATTCCAGACATCGAGCAGGAGCTTTGATGAAGTAAAGTGAGGTGTATGGTAACAGCCTGTTTATGCAGATCATATGGATGAGACTCTCAGATAGGTCACTGGAATGGGAAACATCAAATAGAAAGAAAAAGGATTATGGATATTTAATACTCAAAGGACACTTTCTTTCAGAACTTTCAAGGCACAATGCTCTTGAAATTTTCTTTCAGGTGTTTAGTTTTAAGAAGGCCTGCACTTCATCTGCTTGTGCCTCTCCCCATCCCCCAAAAACTGTAGCGTTGCTGTGTCAGGGACGAGGCTACAGCTCCAACTGCAGCCCTGGCTCCAGCCTTGGAGTGCTCTGAGCAGCAAGCAGAGGCCAGAAACACCGAAACCCACCCGACCTTTAAATTACCCCCAATTGCCATGATTTGTGATGACTTCATATGTTAGGGAATTACTGTTAAAACTAAAGGAACACTAAAATTATATTCCACTCATTAGAAACTTTCTTTTCTGGTTCACAGCAAAGATGCACATGTCCCAGAAAATCCTGGAATGATTTCCCCCTCTCCGACGCAGCCAAAACATTTGCTTTATTTAGCAAGCACAGTGATGGAAGGCAACCCCCTCACCCAAAAAAAAACCCTCAAACAACTAAAAACTCCTTAAATTCCTCAAAACAAAGAGATAAAACCCACGTGATAATATGGACAACATTCTGCTCTGAGATCTTAACTGAGTAATATACAAATAAACATTCCATACTCATAAGAATACAAACTTACAAAACACAGCCTCTAATTTGTAAAATAGTTACATGTAATAATGCTTATATTTTATCTAAAGCTTCTAAAATATTTCAGGTCCACTCACTGTAACTATCTGGAACAGCACAGACACTCAGGTGTCAGACCCAAAATCTAGAGGTTGCTTTTAAAAGCAATCTCAGAATTTTCAAGAACTAGAACAAAACACAAAAGAGCTCCCTTAAATAGAATATTTAGTGCAGGTAAAAAAATAAATGCCAATTAAGGGCTAAATCTCATTTACAAAAACTACAGTAAAAAATACTTTTCACTAAAAACTGTATTTAATTATAAATAAGAACAGCTGGTTTAAAAGAAAAGTTGTACATTTGGTAGAAAAATAATGTAGACTGATAGATACTTAATGCAAGTGTGGTAAATAAGAAAATAATAAGAAATTATGAAATTAGTATAAATCTATAGCTTTTAGAAATAGATGTGAAAAGGGGTGACATCAACTCATTTAACAGCTAAAGAGAAGGACACAAGGTGGCATATGCTGGAAATTCTCTTTCTCTCACCTATTTCTGAACAAACTAAAAGTATGGTGTAGCTGTAGGTTCTGAAATGCATTCTGACTACATTCTGGTAACAGACCTTTCCAAATGGAAACATAAACAACTTTTTAAAATTGTTGACCTGATCTGTTACCACAACAATGACTCCTATTAAGAACTACATATAACAAAACTGTCATAATATCAACTCCAGCATCCAGTTATGCCAATCTCACCCAACTCAACCCAGTGAACACCAGTTGGACACCACAGCAAAATGGCAGGATCACAAAGAAAGCAGACAAGCAGTGTGTCCATTAGCACAGCATGCCAGCAAGAAGCATTGTTCATATTGTCAGCAATATATGGAAAACCTCAGGGCACTTGAGGTGGCACCAATCCTCAAATATATATACATTTTGCCTCAAGCTATTATCAATGGCCTCCATTACATGAGCACAGTAAGGGAGCAGTCTAACCCACAAAGTAACTCTGAAATCAGAAGCAGAAACATTGACTATTCCATTCAAGGAATTACCATTTGAACAGTGAAAATTTTGAAAATCTGTTGAAAATGTCAAATTGCCCCTGCAAGGGGATTTATAGGAGTGTTTCTCACCTCACTGTCCATTCTTTACGTAGCCTTTGTCGCTCCTTAAGGACCAGCAGGAAGCAGTTGATGGTTTCATTCCTTTGTTCCTCAATTTGTTGCTCTTTTCTAACTTCGGCGAGGACCAGACTTGTCTTTAAGGGAGGAAACACATCAAAATTATAATCTAGAAATAGGAAACAATGTGTAAAATTAATAAAAAGCCCATAAGCAAATAAGGACAGTAAATCAATAGCTTTTTTTATTACAGTTCCTCTGCTGACAAATCAATACAGTAAATGATGGTTAGAAATGGCCACCATATATTTGGTATTTAATCAATATACATGGCATATAAGGTAAACCTTAAAATCTCATTGCCTTAAGTATCACAACAAGACATTGTGCATTCTAGGCATAATTTTCTTGAGGCGTAGTTCTTTTCTAAATATTATCTGAGATCAAATCATATCAGAAGTATTTTCTTCAATACATTTGTTGGGGGAATTCCCCCTCCCCACTGCTCTTTGGTAAAGCTAATGAAGAAAACACCTGTTTTTATTGTATCTTCTGAAAGGAATATCTGATAATGTCCCCATGTTCTCTTTATCATTAAATCTTTCAGTTAAACAAGTAGCAAAACATTTTCACGCATAGAATAAATTAAAAACTGCTAAAAATATACATATCTATAAATGCAATTGATTTAAGTAATCTGTACAGTATGATGACAGTCTCTGCAGACTAAAAGTTATGGCCTTCCCCAGCGTTGTGTTGACAGTTAACATTGGTGTAACAAAACTGCAGATCTTCTTATCATCCTTCAGCCAGCCAGCAAGTTAACTCTAAATCCATCACTCCATCTTTGCCTTCACTAACTCACCCACCATTTTCTCCCCTTCTTTCACCTACACTTCCCCATCTCTGCCAACTTGGGAAGGACACAGCACCTTACTGACCAGCCAGATGTCCCCCAGTGCACATGTGCTGACTTGATGTACAGCCCTGTAACCATGGCAGAGTCAATGCAACAGCCTTTTCCTCCAGTGGAGATATTATATTGTCTTTTTCACCTTAACCAGCCACTGATACACAAACTATTTTTGCTATTCTAACCTTCAGTCATATGTTCTGCAGACACATCAAAGTATCTAAATGCTTTTGGGAAGGATGACAGAATAGGTTTGTGCAAGCATTCTATCTATCTTTTTTCACAGTAAAGGAGGCAAAAAAAAGTTTCTAACCTGAGGAGTTGCATATGTGACTTTGAAAACACAAACATAACTAAGAGCTGCAATTCCTATTTCCCAGCACAATCTCTCTTACAGGAACAATGTGACAGAAACACATGGCATATTGCCTCCTCCTCAACATCACATACACATTACATTCTGCCCTCCCCAACTAAAACTCCTCTGGGGATTCTGTGAGAGAAATAATTGTTATTATCTTTAGTTTGCAAAAACAGGAAGATCTACCCTTGGTCTGACAGGGGGGTTTTCCACAAGAAACAGTAATGTGCAGATTATGCACTTCTTAAACTATGTAAAGCAGCGGTAGCGTTACTACAGCCATGGTTGTTCCATGAGACAAGCATGACAGGGTTCACAGAAAATAATGTTATTATACTAACATCTGATGACAAAGAGCAAAAAGCATCTTTCTCCCCACCTCCCAGTTCTATCAGTTGTCCTACCAAAAGGCATTAGCCCATCATATGGAACTAACACATCAAAAAGAACATTTTCTTGTAAAAACCCAAAATGTTCAAAACTCTGTCTATACAGATCACATTCTTGACCCTTCTTTGACATTACAAAGCAAACAAAAAGCCAGAGAGCATTTTCAGATAAGGATTCCCTGACAAGGGTTTCCCTTGCACTGACCTACAACATCTTTTCCACAAGCTCTAATATCCGCCAACTTCAACAATCCTGACCTTACAGCCTCACTTCCAGCAGCTGCACAGTTTAAAGCAGGATTTGATAGAGGACTTCAGCACGTGAAAACACACTCACACAAGATGATGTACATTATTTAATGAGTGATAAATTAACACTCCTTGTCATTCACAATAAATATACCTACTAAGGCTTTAACTTTTATATTTATCATGCACAAGCCTTGACACAGCACTACAGCTTAGAGTTTTTCTCTATTATAGGACAATCGGACCATAGCCATACAGATAGACCACAGCCCACCAAACTTCCCCTTCAGAACTCCTGGATGGTCACATTAATCACAATGGGACAGGGAAATCCACTGGTGACAGTGACTTGTCTACTTCTCTCCGAGACTGCAGTAAAGAACCAAGGTTAAAGATGCACTGCCTCACAAAGCTGAAAGAAAAGTTATCTGTAGGCAACAAACATCAAAATCCCCAACATAAGTGATTCACAAAGTGCAGAGCATGGAGAACTGATAGTTCCTAAAGAATTTGCAGTTAAAACCTGATGAAAAGAGGACGTTATTACATTGTTATCAGTTGGAGATGGGTGACCACTTCTCCAAGTATTCACAATCCCATAATGCCATTGTATGAATTCTGCTGACCTGGTCAAATTGCAACTTTGGTTCTGAGTTCCATTACCTAAAGTCCCTCCATCTACAGGAACGCCATAATTCTGGAAACTGAACATAATTTCATTTTTACTGAGAGAAATTATATTGCTCCAGCCTTCTGTTAACACCTTTCATTTATGTGGTGATGTGCATAGTTCAAGTCAAATGCATAGTTTGACACTGACATCATAAACGCTTCTTTATTAAGCCCTGTGAGAACAGTTGCAGCTACCTGGAGGGTGAAATAGTATGATTAAGCAACATACAACAACAATACATAGCCATTTAACTGATTTACTTGTTTTCTAGGAGTGCTGAGGGCAGTGAGGTTACCTGGAATGTGAGTGCAGGGTTTGATGTGTAGCTTTTATAGAGGCATTTCTTAATAACTTGCTATTCTTATAATCTCAATAAAAATCTCAAATTGTAACAAATAAAGTAGCATTCTGGGTAAAATAATATTATAAAACATGTTCCTTTGAAAGTTTTCTTTTCCATGTAGCTTGTTTTAGGATTTATTTTTAACAAGGGGATTTTATACCTTGACTGATAAAGGTCAAGGGTTCAAGAAACTCGGTCAAAGATGTTATCATGTGGGAAAGCCATTTCCTCACAGCAACACTGATAAAAATCCATCAGAAACCTGGCTGATACCACCTCTTCTCTAGAGAGCAGGAATGACCTTCTGAACATCACTGTAGTTGCACATGCCATCAAAGAAAATCTGATCTTGTGTCTCAATTCTTTCAATGACAGATAATTGTCTGCAGAGGCCCCCTTTGCCCAATGCTGAGTGAAGCCTTCACATTTCTGAACTGGACTCAACACTGACTCAGTGTTTTTCAGCACACATGGGACTGCAGGACAGTAGAATAAATAAACAATGCAACCAGCCCTACAGCCTGTCTTATCTCATCCTTGTGTTCACAGAGATTCTTGAGGGTGGTAATGTTTACAAACTGTTGAAACTTTCTTTCTTTTGCTTCCTGAGCTGGCAAAAACATATCCTGGACAACCTAAGCAACGAGATTATGCAAACTGCTTATCACTTGTGGGAAGCAACTCCTTGTCTCATTGGCCAGCATATCACTTTAATAAGCAGTATTGTTAATATTTTCAGTACATCTTACTAAATTTGCCTTACAGATCTATTAATGTACTTAAATCCTTTCCTTGTAAATCCCAAATGGCACTGGTCTTAAAAACAAACACACAGCCCACCTCTCAAAAAAGCCCAAAGCTATACACATGCACATATATCATATATATATATAGAGGGAGAGAATCTATATATATCACAGATGCCAATCCAGCCTTCTATGTTAAATATAATATTTAGGAAACTAAACTCTTTGACTTCCTCCTGGCACAGCAGCAGAACTAATCTAATGCACTACTGACACATCAGGCAGCAGCCATCAGAGCATCTTCTCTCAATACATAAGAAAGGAAGGTATTAAGGTTAGATTTTAAGAGACCAACACCCTATTCCCTCTCATTTCCACTGACAAAATATATCAGTGAGAAGGGACTGAATAGAAGCTCTGCTAACCAAGCCTTTCTATTCACCCAGGAAATACAATCAAAATTAGATACCTAACAAATCTAAACTAGGTTTTTTAAGAGGATTACAGTAATATTTTTTCTTAGATACACAGCAAAAGAAACTCCGTTTTAACATCCATAGGCCACTACCCTGCTGAACTGTGTGTGTCCTGGGTGAATACCATGACATGCTTACAACCAAGCAAGTAAAAGCAACATCTAAACCCTCCAAACCCCACACTGGTACATTTCCAATCTTCTAAAGCTAGATTTTTCCTTCCTTCAATACAGACCTCTTGAGGAGCCAGACTTAAGGTTAGAAAAACTGTATAGTTGGAGACATGAAGCCTAGTGTTCTGTCAAACAAATTAGCCTTCAGTCTGAACTAAAGTGGCACTTGGGACAGTTTGCCTCTTGGTTCTACTTTATTGGGTCAACAAGTCAGATTTTTCACTCTAAGATTTAATTTACTCACCACCAGTTTAAATAGGATAAGCTTCTGAATCTTTACCAACCACTCCTACTTTAACGTAGCAGTCATCTCTAAAAAAATCAATAACTAATACAGAGAGTAAAGTCTGTAAGCAGCACTAAAATTTTGTTCTGTATCTTCCCTGTTATTTCTGTAATTTTATTTTGCTTTCAGTGCAAAAAGTATCCTGACGAAATTCTATAAAACTAGAACGTGGTGCCTTTCAACGGGGTGAGGGAAAAGAAGCTGAAATCTATTAAGCCATGTTAATTTAACATGTTGTAATTCCTCTGTCATAAAAAAGCTAGTAATTGCTTACAAAACACTGCTCATTTCTTCTTTACTTTTAAAATACAATCAAATGCACCCATTTTCATTGATACGATGGAAACAGACAGTATGGTTTAAGTTATCACCCAGTAATTTGGGCACATTAAACCCAATTCTCTGTCTTTTATTTATTAATCCACTATGCCAGATATCACAGTTTCACTCAGCAACCCGCATGTTTTGGATGATATTGAAAAATGAGTCATGTTTGTCAAAGAAAGTTTTTTTTAAAAAAAAAAAAAA